AGAATAGTACGTAATAATAATATATAATATTATTATATATATATATATATATATATAATTGTCAATTAATAAATGTATAAATTATCTATAAATTTTAAATATATTATATATTTAAAAAATTAACTTTTTTTGTATTTTTATATTTTTTTCTAAATAAAATATACATAATAATAGTAACTAAATATTATTGCAGCAAAGTATTGCCACTCCTTTAGTTGCTGGAGAAGGTGGTCCAATATCACTTATACCTCCTACTCAGCAAACATCTACTATTTCCCATTTAAAAGATGTTACTGATAATTTAGATTTACAAGATAATTTATCACAGAAAGAAGATGATATTTTATATATAAGAAAAAAAAGAATACTTCTAAAATCGTGTCGAGGAAAGGAGCAGATAATGGAAATATTTCTATTAAAATGACACCATCCAATGACACAAAACCTGTAATTGAATTTTCAACAATAACAAGTAATATTTCTAATAATGCAAAAATTGATATAAATATGAATAATTCAAAATCAAATATTAATGACAAAAATATAAATAATGCTTCAAATATAATTGTAAATAATACTTTATATTTAACAAATGTAACACAAAAATTATTAAGTGCTCCTGTAACAGCATCATCAATCCAAGAACATAAACCTAAACCAACTGTAACAGTAATAGAATCTAATAATGATAAACAAGCATTTATACCTCATATTAAAGGTTCACGCTTAGGAATGCCAAAGAAAATTGATTATGTCTTACCAGTTATTGTTACTCTTATAGCTCTGCCAGTTTTGGGTGCTATTATTTTCATGGTTTATAAACAAGGTAGAGATTGTTGGGATAAAAGACACTATCGACGAATGGATTTTCTTATTGATGGCATGTACAATGATTAATATCTATAAATATGAGATTATTAATTCGGCTCATAATTTTCATTCATATATGCATTACATATACATAACAGTTGAATATATTTTGCCATTATAGCTAGAAAAAACATTATATTTCAATTATATAATATTTTTGTTTTACTGCAATTTTCTGCATATATTTTTATCATACTGCCTTAATATGAGATTTGTTATTATATATTAATTAGTATCATGTTTATAATTTTAGACAAATGGTGCATAGGAAAGACAATATGGAAATAACAACAAATTTACAATTATAGCAATAACAATTTATTATGAATTCTAAAAATGAAGTACTTTCAAAGTAAAGATTTTATTTTAATTTATAAAATAATATTAGTGACACTTTTATAATTGTATATTAAAGCAATTTTTAAAATTAGAGATTTTAATTACATTACTTTTTCATTAAAAATTCTTAATAAAAAAATAAATGTGCCAAGAATTTTTAACTATGAAACCAGTGATACAATATCTTTTCTTCCAATATATAAAAGTAAGTTTTTTTGAATATGAAAAAACATATTTATATTTTGTACTGTAACTTAAATTTGTTTTTAATTATATTTCCATATGATTTCCTCTTCATTAAAATTTGATTTTATTTTTTAAATTTTGTAAAATGCTCTTTATATTATAAATTGTAAAATAGTAGTATTTAGCTCGCCAAAGAAGTCATTATGTAATTTGATGTTTGCATTTACTTATTATAATTATTATGTGTTATTATCTTTTTACTTATATTTTTGAAAAAATTTGTTTATATAAATTGATAATTATAATTATAAATGGAAGAATAAAATGGACATTAAATGTCCATTTGTAAAATTATTATATTATAAAATATATAAGCAATGATTTATGCAATTACTTTATCTAATAAGGTTGCTGCAGTTGTTATTAATGCTGGTAGAATTTTACGAACTTTTTTATCTTTTTTAATGTTCGTAAAATTTGTATACTATTCAGATATAATAAAGCAATAACTATTTTTATATATGTATGTAAAAAAATTATTTATATTCTTATAAAATATAAGTACTTGTAATTGAAAATGTTTTATTATTTTTTACATTTTTTACATCATTGAAAAAAAATTCGCAATTTTCATTTCGATATTTTATTAGTAAGCTTATTACGTGTAGGTACATAAAATTATTAATATTAGCATTTCATATAAAATACAAAATTTAATGACAAAGAATAACGTAGCCATTTCTTGTAATAATTATTAAAGAAATAATAGGACAATACTTTATAAATGTGATACATAATTTTAATAATTTTTATATATATTTATATCACATAAAAAAATTTGTTTCATGTATAAAAAAATTGATGAAGCTTCAATTCCGATTTGATTTGTATATTTTTATTATATGCATAAGTTTGATTAGAGAAGAACATTATTATTTTGATATTAATTTAATAATTTTGAATATTTTAATTTTTATTTCATAACTTTAAAGTGCATAATCTTCGGTTTTTAATAATCTAAAGTAATTACATTTTTTACTATGCTGCTACGATCATAATTTCATCTTAGATTAAATTTATTGCTTTCATTATTGAATTAAATATAAAAATAGTAATTGTCTCACAAAGAATTTCATCTTTATAATTTCAATATAAACATAATTTTGTCAAGTATGTTTTTTTAAATATCGCTATATCATGTGATTATTAACAAAGTAATATCTAGATGAAATATTCGATATATTTCTAAGTTTTTTAACAATATATTTTTTTGTAAGAAAAACATTCGAATAATCTAAAATTCATCTATTAAAGTTATATTAAAATTCTTATAATGTTCCAGACATCTTTTTTTATAAATTCTGAATTAAAAAATAAATTCCAAATGTTATAATTAAAACAAATGTTTTTACATCTGAAAATATTGGTTAAAATTACATTTATCATTTTTGTACAAAAAATTGTAAAAATAATACATAGATTGTTTAATAATACATTATATTCACGTCACTATAATATTCATAATAACTGAAATTGCATAATAATTAAAAATATGCAGTTTCTAAATAAAAAAATTATATTCTATTTATTTAATCCTATTTACTTATTGAAAAATATAAATTTTTATTATATATTATTGATTAAATTTAATTGACTAACCAAATGTTATATAAATAAATCTAATAAAATAAGTGCAAAAGTATCTTATAGTATATTTTCATATTGAACATATTATTATACCGAACTTTCTTATTTAACTTTCTTATCACGATGTTCAATAAAACTTTCTTTATTTAGATTTATATTTTACTTCATCTGGAAAAGCTTCTCTTGGAGGAGTAAAGCTAAGCATCATTACATGACGTTGGTAAGCTCTGGAATTTCGAAAATGTGTGTCTGTTCCATGAATTCGATCTAATACTCCCAAAACTCCAAAACATTGATTAAACCTAGAATAATATTATAATTAATATTTTCAATTTCTAAACAATAAAAATTTGTATAATTTTTATAATTTTTAAATTCAATTATTAATAATACATAAATTTCTATATAAAATCTAATTATATTATATCGATATGGAAACTTATTAACTTCTATAAACAAAAAAAAAAATAAATTATTTTAATATATATATAAAATACATTTCAATTTTAAAATAAATAAATAAATATATAAAAATTACTTACTTTAAATGATGAAAATCGTGAGCTTCTGGAGATGGGAAAAACGGTAGATGGTAACCAGAATGCGCATTTAATGTAGAAAGAATAGCAAGCGAAAACCAAAGCCAAGCAGTAGCCACATGAGAACCTATAATATATACTCCCAAAAACGGTGGTAATAAATTGGAACCAATGTGTTCTAAAGGATGACAATATAGAGATGTTATAGCTATGGGAGCCGTCCATTCATGGTGTTGTTTATGTATATATTTATATAGATAGCGGCTATGCAGAAATCTGTAATATAATTTTGCTTTTGCACAATTTTTTTTTTTTAACAGCAAAGATATATAAAATTCTACATAAAATAATATTACAGAGGAAAATCTATTCAAATATGATTGCTTAAAATATTGCTAAGATAATTAAATGATAATTGAAAATAATAACAAATATTAATTAAATAATACTATGTATATTCTTTAATTATTTTAAGTAATAAATCTAATCTAATAGATTCTAATCTTAAATCTAAGATTTTAATTGAATCTAAATTTATTTTAAAAAATATAAAAAAAGATTTAAAAACTTTGATACTTTACATATATAATTTTAATTCAATATACATATCTTTTAGGATAAATTAATTTAAGATTAAAAGATATATCTTTTTATATATCACTATAACATCAAGCATAATTCATATTATTAATATAAAATATTTTCTAATGAAGGGTCACGTATATTACTAAATTATAAATTATTAATTTAATAAAAACGTATAAAATTTCCATACCTGTGCGAGTAATAAAATCCAATTTCCTCGCACAATATGTGAAAGGCAATTTCAACAAGTACCCAGTGGAAGGTCGGCAATTCGCGTACAGGGGGATAACCGCGCCATTCCATAAGGTGATAACTAATGTACGCTAGAGGAAGTCCAACAATGGTTTGATTGAATAGTACTTGAGCGATTACTTTGAACAATTCTCTCGTGTCGACCGGTTCGTTCGTACCCGGTTGTATTTTGTATCTTCGTAAAACTGCTGGTCGATTAGTTATATCTAGAATCATGTAAATCCCACCAAAGAACCAATACACGAAAAATGTCAGTCCTATCGAGCCTGGAAAAAATTAATTCTTTATTAATTAATAATATTTTCGTATTTACAAGAAAATATTGAACGTATATATATATATATGTATGTTCCAAGATAAGTTTCAAAAAATAATTTATCTTTTATTCTATTTGTTATTTCTATCTTTTAAAAAAAAATGAAGCTATAATTTGATAATGATAATATGATGATAATTTTATTTTCTTTCTAATACTATTTTTATCATATTATTTATCACTTATTTTATTTTACTAAGCATTAATAAGCATTAATTTTCTTTTCTTTTTTAAATAACTTAAACATTTTTCATTTTTATATATATTATTTTATAATTTTTTAAATAATATGAAAATATTGCAATTATATATTATCAAGTTTAATAATATGTTCAATACATTTGAAATAACTTTGTAAATAAGAAATAAAATATTTGTTTTTGCGATAAAATTCAACAAACTTATATCTTTAAATGATTTCGATTAAGTTTACATTAAATAATATTTATCTTGGAACGTGCTATATATGTATTTTTTGATAGATTTATTTTAATTTACCATAAACCCAAAGTGTGCCGGGATCATCTCCTAATTTATCTAAGATTTTATCCCATTGTGCTTGCCAAAAATCACCTGAGGCTCCCCAAAATCTTTGTAAATGCCTAAAGAAATAAAAAGATCGAAATAATTTCAAAATAATTTTGATAATTTAAATAAATTTAATAATTAATTTGATTAAATTATTGAATCTTCTGCGACAACATGTTTTTAATATCTTATTTGTGTATGTTATCTGTTAAAATTTACCATGTTAGCGAATTGCAGAACGCAGCAAATCCGATTACTACGGTTCCAATTACGAATAGAACGCTTCTTAAACTTGAAAGCAAAGTCGGTGGCGTTTGATTTTTATCTTCACCGTTCCTAGGCGTTACTACAAAAAACAAATTGTGATTAGTTTTTCATAATAATTAATTATTAGTTTTTCGTAATTTTCATTTCAATAAATTTTAATTCTTTTTCTTCTCTCATTTGTTATTTAATTTGTTTTATTTCGATATATCTTTTAATTGAATTTTTATGTATCAATATTTACAGAAACAAAAAATCAGTCGGTATTGAATCATTTTTTAATGCATTTTGTATTTTTATAAGTTATGTTAAAATATAATTTATCTTTAATTAATTTATTCTTTATCAGAGTAAACTTTATGATAAATCAGTCCATTTCAAAATTATTTATGAAAACAACTTTACAACTTGTTAAGCATTAAATTTCCTTAAAAAAATCTTCTATTATTTTATTTTAATATCTAATTATTAATGATTTTCATTATTATCATTGTATATATTTATTATTTTTAATGTTTTTTTTCTTATCAAGAAATCAATAATATCTTAAAAATTGCAATGATTCAAATTTATTTTATTTATATCGAAAAGTATCACTTTGCAATATATTGTATGTATTGTAATAAAAATAAAGGAAAAAAGACGATTTGCAGAACAATATACAAGATAACCCGGATTCGATTGACAATGCGCTGAATAGCTACTCATCTTTAATCTTTCTAAATAGCTGATTACATACAATTATTGTTTTTAATGTGTTTTCAGCAAAGTTGTGCAAATGACAGTATATATTTGAAAATTCAATATTTTTTTAAAAAACTTTGATCTTTACGTAAAATTTAAATGAGGCTTTCTTATTATATAAGTTTATTTTTAATTGAAAACAAATGTTTAATTAAATTACGAAATAATTGAATATAATGAAAAATGTTTTTTTTATATCCTTTAAATTATATTAAAACTTTTTGAATTAAATTTTCCATTTTAAATAATGGTATATATATATATATATATATATATATATATATA